CTCTCTCTCTCTCTCTCTCTCTCTCTCTCTCTCTCTCTCTCTCTCTCTCTCTCTCTCTCTCTCTCTCTCTCTCTCTCTCCCCGATGCGGACAGTCTGTCGTCACGCACCAACCCGCGAAGCTGTCACCCCGCTTAACCCTCCTGCACCCGTCAGGTTCGCCCGTGCCCACAGTTCGTCGTGGCCCACGTCAACCCCGTGCATTCGGCGTCAGCTCGTCGGATCGCCCAACTCCGCCTCTGCTCACCTCTTACGTCGCTCGTGTGCCGATCTCACATCGCGCAACCCCGAGCTTCCAGTTTGCTAAGAGAGAAGATTAATCGCGCAGTCGGAATTTATAGCGTGCATGCGTGCACGAGGAACACGGAATTACAAGGACCTAGTTAGATGAAGGGAAGGGAGTGCCTACGTTTGCAAGGTCAGGCCGCGGCGTGGGGGACGTACCCAACTCCACGCATCGATCCGGTCATGCAAACGCGGCTACCCAGATAGGGAGGGAAGAGAGGAAGAAACGAGGTGGGAAGAACAAGGAGCAAGAAACAGAAAGATACAGTTGCAGAGGCGTGCGCCCAAAATTACAGTTGCAAAAAGGATTAAGGCGCCAGTTAATCAAGGTCCCGGCGCATCAGCAAGAAAAAGTGCGCAAACATGCAAAACAGCGCTCCAGGAAAAAAACAGAAATTCCAGAACTCCTAAATTCCTAGCTATCCTGCCGATATAACGAAAAGGTCCGAAAAGGAAATTAAAATCCCGAAGGCCGTATGGCTCCGACCAGGCTTCGAAAAGCAAATTCAAAAAGGAAATTCAAAAAGACGTCGAAATTCCCGCGCGATGTCTGCGATTTCTGCGCGCCCAAAAGTCCGACAAAACAAAAATCAAAAGAAAGAAAAGAAGCGACGTCAATGTTTATTAATCGCGCACTTGGAGCGCACTCCGCATTCATCCGACCAAGTTTCAGTTCTTTTTCCCCATGCATTCCCGAATTCCCGAACCGTCATCAGGGAATCGTGCGAGGACAAAGAAACGACGAAGAAAACAAGGACACACAGGCAATTTTCCATCGACCCGTCCAATCATCGTGGGACCCCACTAGGCGCTTCGCGCAGAAAGTCGCGCACTACAGAAAGTAGTTTGTCACAACGGCGACAGCGGCGGTGGCGGCGCCCGATTGTCGGTTGCGGCTGTGTAGGACGCAGCGTCTGAGCATGTGGACGTTGACTCTTTCGACGAGGCGCCTACCCTGCCAGGCACCATAGCTGTGTGAGAGCTACGGCGACAGTGCCCTGGCGTATCCTAGCCCTTGAGTGGGTAGGGAGTGCCTTGCACTCTTACGCCATGGCACCCTGGCAGCTCCTCATTGGACCTCCATACCAACCTACACACCTCACAAGACCTTGAGGAGCCGCCTTCCCTCAAGCCTTCTGCTAAAAAGGGGGGGCTCCTTTTTTTAACACCTAAAGGCTGTGCGTTGCACTTCACGACACGTCATCCTGACTGCCTCGATCAATAGGAAAGCAAGGAAGGCAGAGCGGCGTACCTGGACGCAGTGGGAGAGCGTGCGGCTGCGGTGGCAGCGCTCCGGCATATTTAAGGGCTGCAGCAAGTCTCGTTTGACTTACCTTCGTCGCAAGGCTGTATGATGTTCACTTACTTCATGTTTGAGTTTTCACTTAATTTGTTTTTGCGGCTGCAGCAAGTCTCGTTTGACCTACCTTAGTCGCCAGGCAGTATGACGCTCCCTTCATGTTCTGAGTTTTCATTTAATTTGGTTTGCGATGGTTTTAGGGTGAAGCTCATGGGGTTGGGATGATACGAGAGACGCGATGAAGAGCAAACTAGAGTTGTATCCATTGGCTGCGTGGTAGGAAACCCGTCTAGGCAACAAAGGCTCTTTACAGTGTTTTGGTCAGCGTTGATATGTGGGTCACCCTAAGGCTTATTCATCTTTTCTTACCTTTTTGCCATACCTTTTCGAGTATAGTCTTCGCAGTAGATATGTACTGTGTAGTTTTCTGTTGGATGCCTTTACCTTTCATTCTAGTCGGGCGGTGTTCTCGTCTATCGCTTGTAATAGTATTGAGTTTTCGTGTAAGATGGACAATCACAGTTGCTCAATATCATTAAGCGCTGGGGTATGTTTGCAGTGATTTAGGGTTATACTCACAGGGTTGGATGATATGAGAGACCCGGTGAAGAGCAAACTAGAGTTGTATCCATTGGGTGCGTGGTGGGAAACCCGTCTACGGCGTCTAGGCAACAAGGCTCTCTACAGTGTTTTGGATAGTGAGGTTGAGAGAGTAACCCTAAGGTCCAGTCCTCCCTCCCAGCTCTGATATTTTGTAGGTTTTCGGTATCTGGATTGTTATAAAGCCCTGAAGCCCGATGGGTGGCGGCGCCATCAGCGGGAGAGGGAGACTCACTTGTGGCGGTGGGAACGTTTCCGGGGTGCGAAGGGTAAAATAAGTGCCAGGCATAGCTATACTTTAGCTGGGCTCTGTTACCACCTATCGATCGCTTTTGTATCGAGTTTTCATATATGATTGAGATTTACAGTTTTCGTTACAGTAACTCCTAGTTTGATAGATCTTGGAATTTAGGTTGGTTGTCTTCGTTTATTTTCTCTTGATAAATTAGTATATCCAGTTTAAAATTTAGTAAGTACTTGGTTTGAAATTTGGATTCGAATTGTATTGGAGAATTTAGATTGCTTTTGGAAATAATTTTAGGGTTAAACTGTGTAATCTTCGTGAAGTGCATTGTGCCTTTTCGAAATTTGCAGATTATAGCTCGTTGTTCTTTGCCAATAGTGTTTCAATCCCGGCGCTCTCTTGTGATTGGCTGAAGGAGTGGATTGTAGCTGCTATGATTAGTTCAGCCATCCTTCTCTGTGCTTCATGGCTATTTTGAGTTCTTCTTCCTTTTGAGGCTGAGTGGTCTTGGGACGCTGGACCTGGTTTCCAGCAGGCTATTTTGCAACACCGGGTAGAATTGTGAGGTCCCCCGCCTCGACCACTCTTGTTTTGAAATATAAAGCCACAACTTCCCCAAAAAAAAAAAAAAAAAAAAAAAAAAAAAAAAAGTTGTTCATTTTAGTTTTCTGCATGACCTAGACCATCTATACCCCCGTTTTTTTTTTCCTCTTTTTTTTGCAGATTGGACTTCACGGAATGCCCACCACGCCCGCACAACCCCCCTCCCGCCCCGATCCTGACCTGTCGAGCCGCCACCAGGGCGGAAAGCCCGTGAACGGCCGGTCACAGTCACAGGTACGGCACTGCTGCACGCCGTCGTGGGGCTCGAACCCACCATTTCCCGACCAACTGAGCCACCCAAGCCGAAGCTGGGTAATGGCCCCAGTACTCCGGCTTGTATGTTGAGGGGGGGAAAAGAACGACAGCTGAGATGTTCAGTGCACCAGTACTTGAACATGTGCGTCGAAAGATGGAGTTTGTGAGATGAGAGATGACAGTAGGTGATACGAGGAGGGAAGAGTTAGACTGTCTCGAAGCAAGTGAAATTGATCGTGAAGTGGAAGGAAGGGACTACGTAGCCGACTCGATCCGGTGAACGAAAATGGACGACATTTCACACACAGTGTCACACACACACACACTCCCTTTCCCAACCATCTCTCTCTCTCTTTCTCTCTCTCTCTCTCTCTCCCTCTCTCTCTCACACACACACACACACACACAAACACACAAACACACACACCTCCTGATGAGGCAGTGAAAGTCCAACGAAACAGTCTGGCAGAGTCATGCTTTTTTTTAGTGTATAGCGAGTACGACAACACACACACACACACACACACAGAGAGAGAGAGAGAGAGAGAGAGAGAGAGAGAGAGGATAATTAAAAAAAAAAAGGGATATAGTCTTCCCCCCCCCAAAAGAAAAAACAATCTGACACACACACAAACACCTTCTTTGGCAACCATTGCTCGCACAACAATAACCCTAATAACACTGACAAGCACTACACTACCACGTCCACGCCCCCTCCCTCTCCTCCTCCTCCTCCTCCTCCTCCTCCTCCTCCTTCTCCTTCTCAACTTCGCCTCTCCTTGCTCTCTTTTTTTTTTAATATCTTTTCATCACTCTTCTTGGACGCTAAGCTTGCTACATGCTTTCCCCGAGTTCAACGCCGGGTCATTTTGTCTGCGTCCAGACCGAGAGTTACAATAAATAGTAAATAAATACATCTGTATTTACCGGCTGTTGGGTTAACAGGAATAAGGTAGAACGAAGAGAGGAGGGACATCTGATACTTCACCCTGGAGAGGCAGAGTGCTCTCACCGTACGCTCTCGACGGTATACGTCAGGGTGCATGTCGTGTTCCCCGTGCTCTGCCCGCGCCCCCTCCCCTCCCCCCTA